CTAGCAGAAGGTAGCGAAAACACACATGCCAATTCGACTTTTTATTAAACTAATTAACAAGTGCGACTAATGCTGAGGCAAATTAAGCAACGTTGGTTGATTGTGCGGCAAATATACGACGTTCTTTTGCTTCGACAATGACACTGCGATGTCTTCAGCAGCTTCGATTTTCCTCAATTCAATCAGACCAGATCCCGCTTCCTTAACAATACCCATACTAACGGAACACGTGGTCATACTAGCGAGTACCTGGAAAGCTTTGGCAAGTAAATCAGCGGCAGTTGCATCGCCTTCCGCAGTAGTGATTGCAGCGTTTTTCAGATGCTCTGCCTAATATGAATGACTTTAGACTGCATGACGGAAACACAAAAATGTACAATCACCTTTTCGACCAAGAATCTCGCCCTTTCAGCTTCCTGCTGCGCCACCTGTTTTTGTTCAACAGCCTCAGTGAACTCTTTACCGAAAGACAGGTGAGTCTAGAAGCCAGTATCCATTAACAACTAAGTTTCTTAGGTTACACGTCGCCATTACACACGTGTTGAGAGATAAATGTAAAACTATAAGCTATTTTAGAACAGCATTCAAGTGTGCACAGAAGTCTACTGTTATACCGTGCGTGTCACGGGACTAAGCATGTGACCGTACATCACTGAGTTGAAAATGTAAAACCTAGGACATCTTCAACGTTCTCCACCTACTTGTTATTAGAGAACTTTTACTTTTACTTCGCTGCCCTGCCCGTTGACCTGCTGTAATACGTTATCTTGTTTACGAACTTCTTCAGCCGTCTTTGTTTTTAACTCACAAAGTTGACTAAATCTCTTTAAAAATACATATATACCTATTTTGTTGGTGAGCTAGTATCCTCAAACCATATTGACGGATCGACAACAGCCTTTCAATCCATTTTTAACGGGATTTACTCAGGGTAATATACTTGATAGGCAAGTTTAGTTCACTACCGGTTGTCTAAGGAGCCATTTTAACTGGCCACGGATCGTACACGTAATATTATGTTCGTGCATGTTTGTTTACTACTACACCGTCTTATATGCAGATAATAGTGTAAGACACAATAAAAGTGAACAACATACCAAAGAAATATCATCGAGTATTATACCAAACTGCGAAGCGCGATCAGTTAGATCATCAGAAACTTTCTGGCTTACCACTTCTCGATGGGTGATCATTTCGGCTGCATCAAATTGTGCCTAAAAAGGTAGTTAAAATCGCATCCTTGTGACTCTAAACGCAGAGTTTAAATTTTAAGTATGTTGATATTCCGGCAAGCTTTGTTCAACAACGTTGGAACGGCATAGTAAAATTAAGGTAGAATTCAGTGGGAAAAACCAAACATACAAGGAGAACTTGAAGTTTCAAACTGATTCTCATAGTTGTTTTTCCAGGATTAACCGCTGTCAACTTGCGGTTCGGTAGCCTACTGAACTGAAAAAAGCAAGACCGACAATCGACGATAAGAAAAACTGACCAGAGAATTTACGACACGCACTGAATATTCATTCCCATCTTCGAAAGTTTTATTCTAGGTTAAATTCTTATAGATTTTTTAAAATGTTACAAAAACTTATGACTATCCATACAAGAAGCAAATTTTCTATTTTGGATCCTACAACGCAAAGAAAGACGTCCAACAGCAGACAAAGCAGAGAGTGGAAACCAACCTACACAGATATGATCGCCTTTCTTAAGCCACAGATATCCTTCGACTTACGCCTAATATCTAAATAGAGTGCACTGAAAGAAATCTTCAAATGCAGAATGTTCAACAGTACTTGTATAATACCAAGCTGGCAAACCGAGTGGTTTGCCGCTAAACGTTCATTTTGCATTTCTAGGCTGCAGTGCCGTTGTGATCTGAAAATAACATTCACCAGCAATAATCTGTGAATGAAAGTTTCAGTGGATTTCCGTTTTTA